TACTTTACCATATCTCCTCTGTTCCTCTCTCTTTCTCTCTATTTGTTGGAATGTGCAGCTCGCGAGGACAGTGAACACAGTGCCTAACATCCCTGGGATACCAGGACCTCCACTTGGTGGCGCAAGCAGTGGTTCATCCTCCCCCTCTGGGTATAGTCTGCATTCTGAAACCAAGATGGTGAGATGATCAGTCTTTTGCGCATCTTAATGTCGGCCGCAGGCTCTGAACAACAATGTGTATCACATGTAAAATTGCTTTTACACTTAAATTATGTTATATTTCATGTGATAAAAAACTTAACAGCTTTTTTGTGAGCTTAACATTAATTGACCTACATGGACGGCTGCCTGTGTGTTTTTGTAGCGACTGAAGGCAGCTCTAACTCATCAGGCTTCAGGAGCACAAGATGGGGCTGGTGGGGGGGCAGGATCCATTCCTGCTGTCCCACAGCGGCAGGAACAGAGCCACCAGCCCACTCAGAACTCTGATGCACCATCACCTGCTCAACCACAGGTAATACACATGCTGTATAAGCTTCAATACAAATCATACCTAGGAACACACCTAAATGCCCACAGTGTATGGGAAACCTTTGAGATGAATGTTTACAATAACATGGGTCTCTATAGTAATGCTACAACCAAAATTTGTCTCAAATAATTAAAAGTAATTATTTTCACAGGTAAAACCAGCCCTTGTAAAGTTACATTTTGTGATTCACTTGGGTTGTTTATGAGTCTTTGTTACAGGTGTAGTTTCCACACAGAAGATTTAATGGTATCAAGCAGCGAATGTGCTAATGTGATGCATTTGGACTTTTGACATTACATTAATGTAATGTGTGCCTTATGCAATTGTTACATGTTCATCACATTTGTTCATAGTAGCCCATTTCACAGGAATGACATATAGCACTACTGAACTAATTCCCAAATCTCTTGTGCCACACTGTATAGATAAGACTTTATTGATGTTTACTACATACTAAATCACATACTTAATTGTCATGTTACATGTTTATGCCTTTTAAGAAAATCTTCCTCCTTGTGATAAGACATTTCTGTAATTCAACAACCCACCCCACACTCAGGACATGAACATAAAATAGATGTGATCACTTTCGCCACCCTCTTCATTCCACAGGTGTCGCCTGCCCAGCCAACAGGGGGCCGGCGGCGGCGAGCTTCAGAGATGGATCCTGACGAGAGGAGGCAGCGCTTTCTCGAGAGAAACCGAGCGGCTGCCTCCCGCTGCAGGCAGAAACGAAAGCTGTGGGTTAACTCTTTGGAGAAGAAGGCAGAGGATCTTGCCAACATGAATGTCTCCCTAACGGTGAGTCTTCAGTGTTTCCAGGGTGTACACCAAATATTTAAACATGCTCACAGATTAGACAAGAAGGGACATGTTGGGAATGATTTGTGTGTCGTATGTGTTGTGTTGCAATCAGAATGAAGTAACCCTACTAAGGAATGAGGTGGCACAGCTGAAGCAGCTCCTTTTGGCCCACAAAGACTGCCCAGTCACTGTTATGCAGAAGAAGGCAGCTTTCTTAGGTAACCATTTAAGGTCACAAACTGGCCAATGAGCTTCCACCACGTTATCACTTCTTTTTTCAGGATCCATCTATCATCCCATCCATCTAATGTGTTCTTTTTACTCGCTCACCTCTCTAAGGGTGAATGTTTCTCTCTCTGTCTATAGCTGCAGGAGGAGAGGAAACCTCCAGGGATACTTCTACTGAACCCATCAGCTCCCCGGCAGCAGTTATCCAACACGGGCCGTCACCGCCTGCCTCGGCCCCCAGCCCAGGGGCCACCATCAACGGGCTGAGCGTCCGCGCTGCAGAGGCTGTTGCTATGTCGGTCCTGGCCGGCATGGGATCGGGCCAGCCGGGAGGGGTTGTCATGGCGACGCAGTCACAGTCAGCTCCAAGATGATGTGCTGACGCACGTAGCCAGAATGAACTCGAGTGGCATTTGGAGGCCGGACTGGTGCAAAATGTTTCAAAAGAGGGATCTGCCCTCCCCTCTCACCCCAGACTAAGATACTCTCCTCCCCTCACAGCCAATGATAATCACACAAAGACACGGCACAGTGCCTCCGTCAGCCCTCCACCCCCAGCAGGCTCCCTGTTCAGAGAAACTTTGTCTTTCTATGTATGTAAATATGAATAACACGTCGGACACTCACTCTGCAGGGTTTGGGGTAATTTCTTGTTCAGTTATGACAGTTGAAAAAGGTTTGAGATTGGGATGAAATGTATGAATGAAAAATCTCTATGTGAAAATCATCATTTTATTTTCGTTTCACTTAAAAATGCAGCTTCAGGCCAATTCTGTCCCACACGCTGGCTGTGATGAGGTTGGTTGCTTCCCAGGCTGACAATTTTACTGTAAGATGTCTTGTATTGTTCATGTAAGAAAAGATTTTTGTGCCTGATACTGGGCATTCACATAATGTTTTGCTGATGCAGTGAAAGTACAGTGAAAATACAGTGAGAGAGTGGCGGGCTGATTGCAGTAAAAGGCAGCCTGGAAAATATTTCTATTGCTCTTTTTTTGTTTATTTTTCACCTTGTCTGTTAGTTTTCCGCCTGTTTCCCTTTTCAGTTAATTCTCCTTAAATACCACAACGGTTTAGTCAGCCAAGTGCATAACAAACCAAATTATAGATGTGTACACAGTTTACCCTGTGAATGTCTGCCTGATGTTTGTAGCATTAGTTTAAAACCCATTTGGAATGGGTGCCATTACATTAATCGTGTATGTATCAAACCCTACAGGCTGCATGGATTATTCGAGGATGAGGAATACCACTGTTTGTATGTGCTTCATCGTACTATCACTGGTTATTGATCTGCTTTACTTCTGTTTATTTACATCAAATTATTGATGCAAAAATTGTCCTTGTTATGTAAGAATTCCATCCTCAGTCCTTGAAATGGTTAGCTTTAGAAGGCCCTTAAATGATAATCAAACCTAATAGATTTTAAATCATTTATCCTGGCATTTCAGTTGAGGAAAGAGTAGTGCAATATATTTTTCTATTAAATATCAATGTTCTTGTATTTAGCTGACGCGTGTAGCCCAACCACCAAGAGAGGTTTGGTCTATTTCAGTTGAAAGCTAAAGTTTCGAGGTGAGCAGAGAAAATGTGAAGATGAGTATTCTTGAATGAATGAGATTGGTGACAAGTGCACATCTGTAGGGAACTACAGATGTCCTAGACCTGGGTGCTTTCCAACATTTGAAAAGCCGTCTTTTATCATGAAGTAGACTTCATACTTGTGCAAGGTGCTTCTTTTGAATTCAAAGTTTTGAAATGCAGATTGTTTTATACCGCATTGTACTTCCAAGAGGATCATATTGCTTTTCCCCTTATCACTGTATTGTTTTTTTATAACATGTCATTGTTTCAAGATGTTTATTTTTCTCTGTGGGCATGTTAGGCTTTTTTTTTCCATCGTGTGATAATATGTTCCTGTATTTTGTTTAAGAACATAGATGTCTTTTATGCGTTTAACAGAGGTTGAACCACATGAAAAATATGTCTTGAAGATATCTGTATGGGCGGTGTTTGTCAAATACTCAGGCCTCAGGATGGGAAAAATAACTTGTGTATAGTCTCAACTAATGAATAAGTTGTCTCGGGCAAATAATAAAATAAATTAATGAAAAAGAAACGGTCATCAGCATGTTTCCACCAAGCCCCGGTTTGTGCCTCTCTTGTGTTACCATTATATTTCAGTCACAGAGCTGAAAAATGAATACCCAGTGATCTTATTATGTATTTCAGAACTCCTTAACGCAGCTACAATCTATATTTTTATATTAACAATGGATCATGTGACTACTTGTATGTAGTAGGACTTGATCATAGTGTGAAACCCATAGAGAATTAACACCTGACTGCAGTTCCCCTCAGCTCTACAGACCTACCTTTTAACTCTGTTTTGGTTTTTCTCTTGTATCATATATCTCACCTTTTCAAGCTGCAGCAGACAGATGTGCAAAAAAGCTCTAAAGACCTAATGTACACTTCCATACTCAGACAATAGACAAAGTTAAGAGACTGGCTGGTGAATATAGAGGAGTGTGAAACAGCTAAAGAGCCAGGTATTTCTCACAGGAGCTGGTGGAGACCAAACACAGAGCATTACATTACCAGAAACAGGACTCCAAATGAATGTTGTTTCATATTTACTGGATGAACAAATAGGACACTGCTGCTAAGTTTGTTATAATGCTATATTTTCTCTGCAGATAGATGATATAAATGCTATAACTCCTTGCTGGTATTGGACAACACAAACATGAATACATTATTTTGTAAAAAAATATAAAACGTGGACCATCAACAGACAAATGTATATAGGCCTAAACTAAATATATACATATATATACATTTGTGTTTATTATATATATATATATATATATGTATAAAGTGATACATGTGATATACTAATTCTAGTCCCTATATGCCCTTCCCTAATTTCGCCATCAATACTCAAATTGCACGATGTTGAAAAGTGAACCCTGTAGAAACTCTCTTGTAATACACAAGAAACTTAAAGTGAAGCTAGTTTCCACCTGTGCGGAGCGGCNGATACACTAATTCTAGTCCCTATATGCCCTTCCCTAATTTCGCCATCAATACTCAAATTGCACGATGTTGAAAAGTGAACCCTGTAGAAACTCTCTTGTAATACACAAGAAACTTAAAGTGAAGCTAGTTTCCACCTGTGCGGAGCGGCTCAGGTGAGCTGGGTCTGGAGGAAAGCTGCTCTGCCTCCCAGCTGTAAAAACACAAACAGCAGAGGGAGCAGAGAGTCCGCTTTAACCCACCATCCTGTCACAACAATTACCATCAGCCCCGGTCATGTGACTGATAGACTCCCCTGGCGAGTTGTTCCCATCTCCCACAGTCATGGCGGTGTCGGGGAGTCGCGAAGATGGAGTAAACACCACTACTACAACATCTTGATTTTTTCCCCTTTTACTTCATGCTGGACTCTTACCTGCTGTCATCCGAGATATCGCGAACATCCCGCAGGCTGCTGTGCTTCCAACGATGGCCGACCGCGGCGTTGATCTGGCGGCTCTGCCTAAAGAGGTCAGGGACCAGCTGGCGGAGTTGGATCTGGAGCTATCCGAAGGTAAGGTCCTCGTATAGCGGGGGTGAGGGGGGCTTAAGAGTTGGAGCTGCGGCGGTAATGGCTGCAAACGTTAAGTTAAGTGTGGATCTTTGAGCGTGTTTGTATGAAAGCAGCCACAAACAGCCGTCCTGTGTCAGCTGCTGCAGAGGATCCGGACACGACTACAACAAATGATAAAAACACACTGACCTCCTTTTCGAGCTGTCATTTCTTTATCAAGTGTTCTTGTTGCTTTTATTCCACATAGAGCTCGTTATGTGTAAATGTTTCTACACATGCAATGAACAAATGCCAGTTTATGTTGTAGTCTGGTATGTTTACGTACCCCCCCCCCCCCCCCCACACCAGCAACACACAACACACACACATACAATATTCTTGTTTTGATCCACATGATCTTCCTTCATGTGTGTCATACATTGCTTATCTTCTCAGCTATATGCTACATACACTCCTGAAGAGGAAAATGGGTCATGGTTGTCATCCCTGAGGCCTTGTGTATGTGTGTGTGTGTGTGCAGCCTCAGACATCAGTGGACACTAAATGATGCTGTGGCCCCTCCAACACTCGGCTGTGCAGCTCTCAGAGCCTGAACCCTGAAACAGCAGCAGATATAGGACGGTTATTTGTTTTATAAGAATGACTGTAGGAAAAAGGGGGAATATGGTGCTGGCTGTTATGCAAGTCTCCTCCTCACACTGTGAATCACAGTGCAGCAGCTTGATTGGTGCTGTGCAGTTCTCAGGTGCCCGGGGGTGGATGAGTAATGTTATGTTTCACGTGGAGAGCCAAGCAGGGGGATGTATGGGCCACTGATGACGCCTCGGTCCCGCTTGCACCACGGACACACACACACACAGATAACTGGAACTGTTCTGCCTGTGTGGGAGGACAGGTGAAACTTGAGTGAACCTAAGTGGAAACAGTTTAACCACTGTCACTGTGCACATGTTCAGCCAGTTTGATTCTTTTAGTTACAGAAACATGTTTACTCTTCCATTCATGAAAAGGCAACTAATCTCAGAGGACATGTGCTGAAGATTTTAACAGACAAACCGGCTGGCGGTCTTTTCCACACAACCCGACTGTAGATTCATTCCAGGTGACTTTAGCAGCTTGAGAAACCAACCAAGTTTGGGCCTTGTATTGAACTGTCCTTTTCTTTGTGATCAGGTTTTTATTGAATAACTGGTGTTTAAAGTAAAACTCCCATCGGTTTACATCACTATCAGTTTACCTTTAAACTACACTATCTTCTTCATTTGTCAAATTTGCACAGTGTCACAGAGTGAGGCTGTGGCAACTTTGACCTGAGCTACTGTAGAGTTGAGAATGTGCTCTAGTTATTAATAGACTGCAATTAACAGCGTGATAATGAGGGTGGATAATGGAGGAGGGGATGTATCACTGTATATTCAACTCACTTAACATGGGTGAGAGACAGTGGATGATGGGAAATCATGTGTAATCAAGTGTGCAATATGGAAGTGAAAACAGTGATTGCACTTTCACGACAATATTATTGTTATCCATTATTATTAGATAATAATACAACGCTTCTCTTTGTGAAATGACAAGTAGCTTGTTTCTGATGGATGTAGGTTTAGTGTACTAATTAGGCTGCTGTGGATCATTGTTTGAGCTTTATGGCATGATTGCCAAAGTCTCCTCGGAGATGTTGATTTTAAATTAATCCTTGAGTAAAAACTTGGAATAACAGACCCAATCAGAAAGATTATAGTTTTGTGCCAATTAACTGGAACAAAACAAGTAAACTGTGTCAGCTGAATATTATTTTAAAAACTTCTTTAACTGTATTAAATACATATAGGTGAACCCAAAGGGTATTTACTGAACATCAGGGATGCAGTTTACAATTATTTCCATTATCAGTTAATCTGTCAGTTATTTCTTCAATTAATTAATTATCTTAAAATGTCCATAAAATAAAGGTCCATCACAAGTTCAAAGAGCCACATCTTCAAATGATGTGCTTTGTCCAAAGCACAAAAATATTCAAAGAACAGAGTAAATTCTCACACAGTCCAGACCATTTGAAAGAAACTGTCGGACAGTTACACATTTCTTTGTTCTTCTGGTGTCTGAGCTTCATTGCATTTAATTTGAAATTAAGTAATGGATGAAACATTAAAGTGCCAAGTCTCAGCTTTAATTCGAGTAGGTTTACATTAATATAGAAAGACCAGTGTGGAGGACATAGCCCTTTTAACACATAGTGCCCAAATTGCAAGGGTTTTTAAAAGTAGTTAACCAGATACACATGAAGTCAAATAAAATCATCATATTTAATATTTTGTGGGAAATCTTTTGCTTAGATCAAAGACTGCCTGAAGTCTCTGACACGTAGACATCAGCAGATGCTTTGTATCTTCCCTGCTGATGGTCTCTCGTGCTTGTTTGAGGTCTTTCTGCTTTCAGTCTGGTCCTCAGCAAGTGGACTGAGATCAGGGGACTGTCCAATGTGTTTTGATGCATTCGGCTGAATGTGAGAACAGAATGCTCCTGTTGCTGCCAGTAGCAGTGAAATCATCAATAAATGCCATTGTACCAGTTCCTTTGGCAGACACACATGCCTGAGCCATAACAGAGCCACCACCATGTTTGACAGATGAGTCGGTGGCTTCGGGTCATGAGCTGTTCCTTTTTTTCTCCGTACTTTTCTCTTCCCATCACCTCGATCGATGTTGTTTGTTTTTTTTTCATCCATCCATAGAACCTTGTTCCAGAGCTCTACCAGTTTCCTTTTGTATGTTTTTGCTTTTTTTCAGCCTTATTATTTATATTATATATTATTTATATTTATTTATATTATCATTTTCTTCACTTGCATGGCTACATCTTTACTCTTTATATCGACTCTGAGCCACATATGGGCTCGAGTGCACTTGTTTGCGTTTTCTGTGCTCATATTCAGCCAAATGCATCAAAACTCATTGGACAACATTTCATCATTCAGTAGGACAATGACCCTAAACATGCAGCCAAAACAACCAGAGAGTTTGATGGTTTTAGTATTTCAAGACTAAAAGTGTGAGTTAGTGGTAAGGTGATACCCCCAGAGTGACTGTTCCTCTGCTGAGGACTCGGCATCAGAGGACCATGGCTTTGTCATTTGTAACTTGAACTCAGCGACGACTCTTTTGCAAATAAAAAGGCTCGGCACTGTCCAGATGCCCTGCTCCTGTATCCACATTTTACGGTGAGATGAAGTGCGTTCGCCGTCTGCTCAACAGCACTCAGTGTGCACAACGCTGATGGCACAAGGCGAGCAGCAGCTGGCCGCGCAATGAGTCTGAAACTTTCTCATGGATATCTTTTACATGGCAACAATCACCCCATTGTTGTCCCCATAGATGGGACTCCCTTAGCAACAGACAGAGGAAAATATGCATCAGCAATTTTTTTTTCATAGTAATGGGCAGCTGTGTGTGTGTGTGTGCGTGTGTGTGTGTGTGTGTGTGTGTGTGTGTGTGTGTGTGTGTGTGTGTGTGTGTGTGTGTCTGTGAGAGAGAGCCAATCCACCTACAATAACCTCCATGACTGTAAGGACACAAAGAAAGCCATTGAGGCGATCAAAGACTTGGTGATTGAGCCGGACTGGAATTCGGAGCACTGAACCACAACTGTTTAAGCTGCTCAGCTTGGGAGTGTGTGTGTGGGCATTGTAGTGTCTGCAACTCCTTTATTTGTTTGTATGTGAGTGTGTGTGTGTGTGTGTGTGTGTGTGAAAGTGAATGAGACAGAGAGTGAAAATGACAAGAACAAACAGCTTTGAACTGATGCTGTTCGCACAGGAGGACAGGCAATGCAATGCATTGATCTTAGAAATGTGTCATTCACACCCAGTATCAGTACCAAAGGTTGGCATCAGATGCCTGGTCAGAGTCATTGTCGAAGTTTGGTTTCTTCTATAAATTAAGAATAAAATTAGTTTTTGTAGATTCATGTTGAAGCTATCAAGAAGCTAGCAGTTGTGCGAGGCTGTACGTAGGCGCAGTGGTACTGTTATGTAAGCAAGCATACTAACGCGCTCACAGTGACAGTGATAACATGCTGATTTTTAGCAGGTATAATGTTTATATTAATTTGGTCATTCATAAAATTTTGACCAGTTGGCGGTGCTGCATTAAAAAGTCAGGGGATCACCAAAGTTATTATCATTCATCCTGAGGGGGGCATGAGTGCGTGTACCCAATTTCATGGCAGTCCATCAAGTAGCTGAGTTATTTCAGTCCGGACAAAGCAGTGGAGTTACTGACAGGCTGATACTGCTGTCCCTAGAGGTATGACGCTAGTGTGGTTGAAAAAATTGTTTTGGTGTTGGTGTTGAAGCTCAAATATCATGTAGATGCTATGGACACGTTTCAAACGACCCAGCCCTGCTCACAACCTATGATGCATGCCATCTGTGCCATTGTATACGTGTGCCTGTGTGCCTGGTGCTGTAAATGCATCACATGCCCAGTAAAGCAGACAGTTCCACTCAGCAGTCATTTTCTGTTTTCCTTAATTTGATCGCCGTCTCAGTCCCAGTTGTAACTGTCCAACCTTAGAAGCGGAAGTGTGGATTTCCTAGTGAATGGCGTCCATCCTGCTGCCAGTCTGCGATGCTGCGGAGGAGAGGCAGGATTTCATCTCAGCAGCCTGTACTGAGAGAGAGAGAGAGAGAGAGTGAAATGAGAGATTACGGTCCTGCCTGCGTCTCCCAATCTAGGTCACAGAGCATCAGGGGGCAACACGCCTGGCTCATTTAGCCTGAGAGTCACACTAGGCCAGGACTGCTGCTGGGGATCTCTTCCTCTCCCCCGCCCACCCTGACACCACCACTGCCTTCTCTCTATCTGTCAGTTTCCCCCTACTACTGTATTATTTTAGTTTTCCTCCCCTTCAAGATAAATAAGATGCATTCTTAAAGGGCAAGGCTGATGTTATTCTGCATTATCCCACAAAAAGACCAAAACCAACATTATGTTATTCTG